GCACTCTCCAATCAGCACTCTCTTGGGCACTTGCTGCTCTGTTGTTGACATGTGGCAATATGATTGACGTTACAATCAGCAACCGGTTTCAAACCGGTTACATTTACTCACAACTTCTAATTTTATTTTATTTTTTTAACAATTTGTAATTATTTATAGGGTTAATTAGGGAAGGGGGGAAAAGGGTTCCGTGGAGTTTAAACGTGCAACTCACGGAGGTGAACAACTATAACCCAAGGTCCAATATCACTGGGCCGGAGCGGGCCGTTCAACTTCTAATTTTATTTTGTTTTCATTTACATTTAGAGTTTTATTAGTAATAAGGTGTGTTTATTATATTTTTTTAGTTATTATTATAAAAAATAAAAATATATTATTATTTTATTAATTTCTATACTAAAATTATTTAAATAATATTATTGTTAAAAATAAAATAATTTTTTATTTTATATATTAGTTAATAAAAAATGTAATAAACTTATCTTAATTTATTTTGTAAGAGTACTTATTATAAAAAGTTTTAAAACTTATTCTTGGTTTTATCTAAACAACCTTTTTAGGGATGTATCAATCACACATTTTTTTATAATTTGTATAAAAAAATACAAAAATTAATTTTATTTTTAACATTAATAATACATATAAAATTTTAATTAAGTGATTGATAAAATTGAATTTAAATTTTATGTTTTCTATAATAGATAATAAAAAAATATGTAATTAATATATTATTAACATGTGCATTAAAGACATCGAATAAAAGAATTCTTTACTCTTTATTAGGTTTAATAAGAAAGTTAATATTCTATGAATTTTTCTAATATGTGTTATAGATTAAGATGCATTAATTATACTTTTTATTTATCCCAATGGGGTGGTTTAACGGTTAAAAACTTGAGACTTCAAATTGAAGATCTCAAATTCGAGACTTGAGTCTAGTAGGGAAAGATTTGAGAATATGAGAGAGTTATCCCCTTTTGTACAATTCATAATTAGATGTATCAAAAAAATTGTACTTTTTATTTACTTTATTTATTAGTCTATTATAAGTTAACTAGTGTTGTAGAGGTACCAATTTAGTTAAACTATTATTGGTTGATAAATAGAAACGAGGGGTACAACACAA